GAAAATTTTGTGAACTTAGCATTTCATAGAACTTCAAGGCAGTTCCATTAATTGCATGCAAAATTCAAAGAACAACCGGTTTGTTCAAAGAGTTTCGGCAAATATCTGATTACTAAACTGCCGCGAGACGACAATGTGACGTAAATCCATTTAGTGAATTGTTCAGAAAAACAAATATTTTTGATTATCCTCGTAATGATTACGAAAATTTGCAAAAATATTACTATGTTACTATATGATCTAAATGAAGATAAAAATATGATCCTTGATGTTTAAAAAGCTTTTATTAAGTTAGCACTTATGTATGCCGGACGACACTTATGTATAAAAACAGTGAAAAGTTTTCACTGTTTCTCCGAAAATGTATGGTTGACGTCACTTTGTCTGCACGCTTCAAAATTAAATTTTGTACTAGTTTGAAGTGTTTTTGGGTTTCATTTAGGTTACAGAACTCGAATATGGTGAAATGAAAATTTACCATACTGGCGTTTACGTCACTTTGTCATCTCACGGCAGTAAAGAGCAGTTACATGAACCTCCGGAAAATTGTAGAAACTTGAGTGAAGTTCCGCAGTTCGATCCACTTCAGAAAAAAAAACGCAGGAACTAACTGGATGTTCTACGAACAAAGTCCACAAAGCTTTAAAGAAGATGGATGTCCCTCGCCCCCCCCTCGTCCTGAAATTTCGGGAACTTTAATGAAGTTCCAAGAACCTATGGATTTTTTTTATAACTTTTTGGTTGTTCCATTAACATGATAAAGATTGCGAAGACCTTCAAGAAGTTCAGGGAATTTGATAAAAATTCCAAGAAATTAATGGATGTTCCGAAAACTTCAGAGTACTTCCATTGAGGAGAATTGCAAACACTTTACTGAATTTCTTTAGTTGAGATTAAACATCTTTAGGGAAGTTACGTAGCTTCGAGCAGTACTGAGACATAAGGAAATTTCCATGACCTAAGGAAATTGCGAAAACTTCAGGGATGTTCCGAGAATTTTAAGTATATTTCGAATACTCAAGGGCAGTTCCATTCAATTCAGAAAAATAGCGAGAACCTTCAAAAAGTTCCAAAAACTCAAAATAGACATACAAAGAAAAATGTCAAAAATTTCACAGAAGTTCCAAAAAATTCACGGAAATGCAGAAAACGTCGTGAATTTTAGAGATCTTTAGAGAAATTTTAGCGATTTTAAGTCAACTCCAGGAAAAACAACAGCAAGGAAGCTCCAGGAGCTTACCGAGCAGTCCACAAAAATCACAGAAACTTCAATGAATTTCCTAGGAGCAGGAGAAGTTTCGGGGCCTCCCTTAGCTCAGTCGGTAAAGGCGCAGCTACAAAGCAAGACCATGCTGGAGGTGGCTGGGTTCGATTCCCGGTCTGGTCTAGGAATTTTTCGGGTTGGAAAATTTCTCGACTTCCCTGGGCATAGAAGTATGATTGTACTTGCCACACAATTATACTAATGCAGAAATGGTACAGGCATCGAAAGCTCTCAATTAATAACTGTGGGAGTGCATCTAGAACACTAAGTTGAGAGCACGCAATAAGCTAATATGCGATATGCAATAAGCTTGAAATGCGAAGAAGAAGAAGAAGAAGGAGAAGTTTCTTGAACAGACTGCAAGATAGTAAGGTTCTGTAAAATTGTGGACAGTTCAGGAAAACTTCCCCAGCAACAATTTTGGTTTTATAACGCTCTTGAAGACCATGGTTTAGGCTTGAAGAGTTCTTTAAAACCTCGATAAAACTTACAATGTATCTTGGGTTAGAGAACATCGAGGCGATTATATCTGCTTCAGAGAAACTGCTGGAACTTTTAAAAAGTTCTAGGAACTTCAGGGATGTCCAGAGAACTTCAAGGAAGTCAAGGAAGCTTCAGATAAATCCAGAGAACGGGGTAAAATAGTAAAGAAGATCCAAGAACCTCTCGGAAACTAGGTCTAGAGATCTTCAGGGATTTTCAGAGAACTTAAGGAGAGTCACAATAACTTCAGAAACGTTCCGACTTTTGGACACGTTAAAAGATCTGCGAAGGTTAGTTTCGATAAAATCTGAACAATTCCATCAACGTTAGCAGAATTGTAGAAGCTTTAAGAAGTTCCAATTATTTTAGGAACGCTTGAACATTTCAGAAAACTTTAGACATTTTTTAGGAACATTACAGATGTCCAGAGAATTTCAGGGAAGTTTAAAGATTTTTAGGACAGCTAAGTTGATTTCAGGGCAGTACCGAAATCGTCTGGAGACTTGTGTGAACTTAAGGGTAGCTTCGAGAACATCAGGGAAGATCACTGAACCTCAGGGCAGTTCAATTAACTTCAAGAAAATTTAAGGAACTTTACCGAAGCTCCAGGATACTCTGGGAATTTACAAAATCTTATGCAATGTTCTGAGATCTTCAGGAAAGTCCAGATAACTACAAACAAGTTTAATGATTACTAAGCAGTTTCATTATTTTCAGCGATGTTCTTAGTATTTCGTGGAAGATCAGAGACCTTCAGAGCATTTCCATTCATGATTTTCAGGAAATTTCAAGAAGTTCCGAAAAATTATGGAATGTTCCGAGAATTTCATGAATGCTCCAAAAATGTTGTGGGCCTTCAGGGAAGTTCCAGTTTTTCAATAAAATTGAAAAATCTGTGAACATAAGAGAAGTTCCAAGAGCTTTTTGAAAATTTAATGTTATGTCAATTGTGATAGCTGATAACATACAAGTTTACCCGTATTCTTGTTCTTAAGTAGCCATAGTAAAATTTGACAATTAATAATGATTTGTGCCCACATTGCCAAATATCACCGACCACTGAACACGTTCCAAAAACTTTTGTTCTTTATTCATTTGATTAAGCTGCATTTAGTTTGACCAATTTTTCCCGTGTAAGGACATCCAATCATTAATTTAAGTATTTTTAGTCGTATTTCTATTATTTATTCACTTCGCTGAATGATGCACTACTGGAATATTTCCATTCTGGAACTGACAAATAATGTCATTTAAATGGTTTGATGCAAGACATGTTGAACGATGAATTCACTTTAAGATTTTCGTGGGCTCCAGACCATCTGAGTTTGGTCATGCAGTTTTACCAAATTAATTGATACAACTTAGCGATTATGCAACGTTCAATTTTTCTTAGATCCACTAAATTCCTCAGATTTAAAAACCACACACACACATGGCAACTTAAGCTCCACCGGTTGCCTTGCCCCCTCTCCAAGGCTTATTCCAATTTACACTTCCTCGTTTCCGCCAGCACTAACCTTCCAACAACAGCAGCAATACGGCAGGTAGTGTATTTACTGGCCACCACTTCAGACACTATCGATGACTGAGATCCTCGGTCGTATAACTTTAGCTTTTATATCAGCCATCTTGACACGACGGTGTTATCGCTCGGTTTCGCGGATCATCCTTAACCGCCGTTCTCGATTCAGCTCCAATTGTATGCAGTTTCCCCTGCCAACACCGAGCCATCGTTGTCTCGTTTGATCGGTTTCGGAAAAGTCGAAATTTCGGAAATCCCGACGAATCCACTTTCCAACATCCCTTAAATGGAAGACGGTAGCTGTGCGATTCACACCGTGCCGGCAAAACCTTAAATGGTGCGATTCTCGTGCAAAACATTGGCTAACTGGTGCAAAAATACCCGGCAGCTGCAGTTCGATCAATCGCCAATGCGGACCGATCGTTGCAGCCATCCTTAGCAAGACATTAGCACCACCACACAGAGATGCACCTACAATCGCAAGTGCTGTGACATACACGCCCAATTATGCTAACGATCGATCGATCTCAGAGTGATCCGCCGAAGGAGCGAAGCGCGTGACTTTAGACCGGTTCGTAGTTTCGTTGAAACCGTCTCCTTTGTCATTTCACCGAAAGAGTCAAATTAATCAATTATTTGAAATTACCAAACAGAACCAGCCTATAACGGTTCTAATTTTAAAGAAACCCTTCTGCCACACACATCAGAACATCATTGCGAGCGACGACGC